CTCAGCTCTCCAGAAACTGTCCCTTTTCTCCTGGACCCTCAGGCCCACCTTCAGAGCCCCAGCGCCCCAGCCACGCCCATCCTCACTTTGCGCCACCGTTTACTTTCAAATTCTGCCCCGCTCCGCATATGCTCCGCATATCCGTCTCACGGACGACCAGGAAGTGGGGAGGGATGGCTGTGACTTACCTGCAAGCCCCATTTTAGCTGACATCGCTTCTATAGCAAACGAGCAGCTTCTGCTTGAACTCATTCATTCATTTAGTCAGTCAGCAAACATTCGAGAGCCTTCTCTGTGCCCCATCTTAGTTCCAGACCTTCACTCTACGCTAAGGAGCTCACACCCTAGAGAAAGAGGGAGGACTGAGAGGTAACACATGTTTACCATGGGATGAAAGGTTTCCACCATTAAGGTAATTCCGTATTAAAATTCACAAAGGGAGGAAGTGAGGGTGCTGAGCACGAAAATGCATTTAATCCTGAGGCCCTGGGACACTTCCATCAGCATTTCCCATTGCTCGGGTCAGCTCATTTACCAATATTGTCCACTGTGTGCCAGGCTGTGTGCCAACACTGAGGACAGAGATGAGAAAGACTTGATAACTTCTATGAACTTGCCTGCCATCTGGTGGGGATGACCCACAAGAAAAAGGTAGCTAGGACTCAAGATTCAAACCCTGAGGCCTGACGGTGGTGTCCTGGTAACAAAACACTTTACTACGCTGTCCCTTTTGGGAAGGTTTCAGATTTGTGTCAAGAGACCTCCCTGAATGTGCCTGTCAGAAGCATGCCTGGCTAAAGCTGGGAGTAAAATGTGGTGTGCAGACTCTGTTAGGGTGCCTCTTTCCCGGTCATGGAAGAAACAAAGAAACTTTTTTTTTAAAGAGAGATGGCTTTTGTCTCTTGCTGCAGCTTCACGAGTGGGAGTACTAGGAGCCGGGCACCACGGTCGGTTTCAAGAAAATTTAGACAAACCAGACATGGGGGAAATCGCCAGCTAAGCCCAAGAAAACCCAGTCACAGGGGAAGAACACCCTGCCGACCAAAGAGACCATTGAGCAGGAAAAGCAGAGTGAAATTTCCTAAGGGCCTGGAAGATTCATTGCCCTGTCATCATCGAGGCCACAGTTGTGATGTGGAGGAAGAGCCACCTGCAAGACGGACCCAAGCCACAAGCTGCACTGTGAACCACCCCCATCCCCATACTCTGCGCCAATGTCACTGGCCTTTGGTCTTTCAGGGGACTTCTCCCACCATTGGACTGCCAAATTCTCTGGTATGCCTTGGGGTATTATAGAAAAGTATTTATATGATTAACAAAATAAAGCACACCTCATGCAAAAAAAGAGAGAGAGAGAGATTGCTATAGTGTGTGTGTGCTTGCTGGGGAGAGAGAGAGAAAGTGAGAAATCAACTCTCATGGGGAATGGCCACATCACAATCCCTTCTCCTCCTTTCTTCTCTTGGGATTATGGGTGCACAAGCTGCTGGGTCTGGGACTCAAACTGAAGTTATTCATATGGGAGTCCAGCACCCTAACCACTATGCCACCTACTGGCTCAGAAACTTTTTTTTTTTTTGAGAGATTTTTGCAATAGGGCACATGTGCTGGTCGGAGAGACAGAAAAAAGAAATCATTCCCCATGGGGATGGCCACACTGCATTCCCTTTTCTTCTTCTCTTGGGAGTTTGGGCACGCACATATGGCCAGCCTGAGTTTCAAGCCACCGAGTCTGAGACTTGAACCACAGTCAACTATGTGGGAGTCCAGCGATGTAACCATTATGCCATCTGCTGGTCCCAGAAATGTTTAAAAAATATATTTTATTTAATTTTACTTATTTGTTTTAACTTGACCAGAGAGGGACAGAGTGTGTTGAGAGAAAGAGAAACTGAGAAAGCAAGTGGCCAGGTCCGGGACTCAAACCACGGTTGGCCATGTGGAGTCCTGCACCCTTAACCACCACACCACCTTCTGGCTCCCCCACAAAATTTTATTTACTTTTTAAGAATTATTGGGGGGGAAACCAGGAGGTGGTGTGGTGGTTAAGGTGCTGGACACTCCCACATGGTCAACCACGGTTCAAGTCCTAGACCTGGTGACTTGCTGTCTCGCTTTCTCTCTCTCTCTTTCTCTCTCTGTCTCTCTTTGGTCAAATTAAAATAAATGAATGAATGCATAAATGAAGTTAAATAAATATTTTTTAAAATAAAATAAATAATTCTTTTAAAAAAAAAAGAATTATTACTGGGGGCCAGTAGGTTGTATGGTGGTTAAGGCATTGAACACTCCCACATGGCTGACCACAGTTTGAATCCTGGATTTGGTGCTTGCCCTTCCTTCTCCTTTTCCCTCTCTCTCTTTCTCTCTCTCTCTCTCTGTCTCTCTCTGGTCAAATTAAAATAAGTGAATAAATAAAACTAAGTAAATAATTCTTAAAAGAAAAAGAATTATTAGGGAGGGACAGCAGGAAGCATGGTGGTTAAGGCACTGGACTCCCACGTGGTTGATATCAGTTTGAGTCCCAGACCTGCCTGTTTGTTTTCTCCCTTTCCTGGTCAGTTTTTAAAAATAATAATAATAAATTAAATGAAATATTTTTTTAAAAAAAGAATTATTGGGGCTGGCCGGTGACATGATGGTTAAGGTGTTGAACTCCCATGTGGCAGACCGTAGTTCGAGTCCAAGACCTGGCAGCTTGCTTTCTCGCTTTCTCTCTCTCTCTCTCTCATATCAAACTAAAAAATAATAATAAATAAATATGTTTAAACATAATTTAATTTTATGTATTATTATTTTTTTTATTTTGCTATAGGGCACATGTACTCACCAGAGAGATACACAGAGAGAAAGTAAGAAGAAAGTGAGAAAGCAAGGCACCAGGTCCAAGACTCAAACTGCAGTTGGCCATATGGGAGTCCAGTACTTTAATCACCACACCACTTGTTAATACCAACAAAGAAACTTTTTTTTTTGGGGGGGGGAAGGTTTTTGTTATAGGGCGCATGCGCTTGCCAGACGGACAGAGAGAGACAGAGAGACAGAAAGCAAGAAATCCCCCCCCCGGGGGGATGGCCACGCCGCAATCCCTTCTCCTCCGTTCTCCTCTCGGGATCTTGGGCATGCATGCACACGCGCCCAGCGTGAGTTTTAAGCCACCGGGCCTGGGACATGAACCACGGTGGACTACATGGGAGTCCAGCGACATAGCCATTACGCTAACTGCTGGTTCCAAGAAAGAAACTTTTTAAAACACACACATACACACCACACCACATGTGCACACATATATGCAAACACAAATCCCTAGGCCCAGTCTAAACATCACTTCCTCCACTGCCCACGTCTGCCTTTGTTACAACACTGACCACACTTTGTTTCTCCCCGCCTCCCCTTCCAATCTGGAAGCTCCAGTAGCACATCTTGGCAACACTGGCCTGGCTCAGAGCAGGCACTGAGAATATTATGAAAGAAACAGGGGATGGCAGGTGGCGTGGTGGTTAAGGTGCTAGTTTCTCACATGGTGGACTGTGGTTCAAGTCCCAGACCTGGCGGCTTGCTTTCTTGCTTTCCCTTTCTCTTTCTCTCTGGTCAAATTAAAAAATAATAATAATAATAACAAATAAATGGTTATTAAAAAAGAAAGAAACAGAGATCAATGCCAGAGGTAACTAGAATGCGGCTAGGAGGCCATGGTCCTCCAAGAGTGGTCTTTCGGCCAAGTACCTAGACAATTCTGAAGTCAGGGACC